AATAAGTCCCACCATTCCTGATAACGCAGTTGTACAGTAATTGGGGTTATGTGTCGTGAAATGTACATGGCACCAGCAGAACTAAGTCCAAATCAATTCAGAAAAGGACGGACAACTTGAAATCATTAGAGATATTCCCCAGAAAAGAATTTTCAATTTCAAGAAAGTCGATCTGAAAGTGAGTACGTGAACGGTTCTGAACAAGTCGCAACATTTAAATGCCTCAAGATATACGTGGTCCGGTAAAGAGAAATTTCATACGTTATTTAATTAAATGCATATTTCAGTGTGATTTTGTTTTTATTTCAGGGACGCTCCCAATCTTGTGTACCTCTGAACCCAATATCACACAGACATGGGACCAGCCCTAAGACGTTTTCTTCTAACGTCTCGTTGGATTGCACCATCGTATCGTATTCATCAATCAATCAAACCTTAAGCTGATAACACATTCCTCCAGAACAACTACATTGAAATGCAATTAATGATTCTAGGCGGGCTTCACTTTCAGATACAATAATTTTGATATAAACACTGTTCTCGATTTCAATTTCATTCCGATTTCGTGGACTACGCAAAGAATTTTGAGTTTGACACACTTACTGCATACAAACACGAACTACAGGGATTGATTAAACATATGATATATCTGCACCAATCAAAGAATTGTATCTTAACATGGGACTTCATGAATTAGCAGATCACATTATTTTTGGCTCACCTGGTCTGAAGGTGCGGCTTGTTTTTCTTTTACGCCTTTGATAAACTAGTATGGTACTCAGCAGGTTTAAATTGAAAATACAATGCCAGGTGAGCTGTTTATGCTTCATGGCCTCTTGTATAAAGTGCTATTTCAGTAAAAAAATATATGATTTTAGCAATGTCCATTTCATCAACGTGGCGATACACGAAAATGCCTTCTATTATAACAATTTAGTAACTTCTTATGTCTTTAATATCTTCCCGTGTCGTATATACATATGTGCAGTGGTGGATTGATGGTTTCGAGGTTTTAACATCTGAATCTGTACTTGATAACTCTTGTTATTGTTGTAAGTTTGCAAGAGTGGAAATTCTGAAAACAAAATGGCTGCACACAAAGTATTTTAAAAAAGGCATTTGTAGTTGCTAATAATTGCCATGGTTTTTTTTTGGACTGGTGAATATTTTGTTCAATTGGAGTTAACTTAAGGAATGATTTTTATTTTTTCAACATTTATGAGGTCATAACAACAATGGGTTTATGGACATATTGAATGAATCGCGTTAGCGATTCATGTAAAATATGTCCAAAAACCCATTGTTGTTATGACCTCATAAATGTTGAAAAAATAAATATCATTCCTTATATTTACATTGACGAATCCTTTCAGTGGATCGATATAACAACGAATAAAACAAATAAACAGGGTTTGTTCCTGCTTATACACGGGTGCAACGCAGTGGCGAGAACAGTGTTTTTTCGCGGGGAAATGTGACACTATCGTGAGAGATCTTAGCAACCGTCAACAACAATAACACAACAAAATGTAGTTCCATATTCAATGTTTATTTGTAGCACAGGACACGTGAATACGTGGATATTTCACAAAGCACAGTTCAATAATATTTTAAGATGTAAGAATTAAGCATCTAGGTCGGTCGTTCCGAGTGAGTAGTTTTTGTAGTGTATTACTACGCAGTGTGATCAGGTTACTATCAGTTCCCACGTGCTGAGATTCTATGAACACCTGTGTTATGCATTTATGAATGTAATTTTTGTCAATGGGTCTAAGCATACAGAATGTAAATATATGACGATAACTTTTTTGAATATGAATAGTTTCAGATCGACAGGATATTTCAGTTCCGCTCTTAGTAGTTGTCAAAAGATTGACATACTTCTACTTCTTGTTGTGATTAAAATGTACATTTATATTGTGATAAATATAACGTTACTATGCAAGGAATAACGTGTATTCCGTGGTGATTTATTGAGGGAAAATAGTTTGAAATATGTCCATAATAATCCACTTATTATGACTACTAGTAATCAAAGTTAAACCTGAATGTTTGTATTTGTATATATGTGTACTTGTGTAATTTTGTATCATATGCAAATTGAGGACTATATATTCCTGAGGAGGTAACAACCGAAAATGACAAATTATGTGATGTTAATTGTACATAATATTTTATCTACTACAAATTTATTAGCGTTCGTGTCTCACAGAATATTTTATAAATTAAGATTTTACACGTATATTTTATTTTTGTATTAATTACAATATTGATTACATTTGATTGATGCACGTGTATTTGCTAAATTCCGTGCATGGTGAGAAATCCCTTTTTTATACATTTGTGCTTATAATTTTGTTTCTATGTTCAGAATTTTGTGGCATGCATTAATTTATCAGTTGATGTGTATATGTTTTTTAAAGGTTATTATCCATGTTTGGAGATGAAAATGGATGCCTTGAATTTTCTGATGAGAAGTCCCGATATGTTTCCTTAAATAGTGATGCCTTCTGTAGGAAACGTTAATATGTAACCAAAATCATGCCACCTTCGTTTTTAATTCCTTTACTTACTCGATATTTGGACCTACCAAATGTAAAAAAATATCTTTCTATGATGCATGTCATCCGGCTTCACATAATATTATAACACTGTTAAAGGGTCTTGATGACTCAAAGATGTTGTCAACTATTTGGAGTGCTATTTTGGGACGACATACACATTAACACTTATCATTATCAAAAAACATGTTTGAAATAATTACTGCTGATATTTATTTATACAGTTTGAATGGTATTTTTAAAACTGTTATGCCGGTTTAAAGCTTGCAGTGACATTCGTTTTTAAGTACTTATATCTTCATGGTTTATTTCATTGTAAACTATGTATCGTAGTGAAGGATCCCCGTACCATTGCAGAAAAGTGCTGATTTGAATAGCTTTATTAAATCATATCTGCAAAGCAACCCTTACCTTGCAAAATTTTCACGAAAAATAGAAATCAAATATACGATACAAAATAGCCAAAAAAAACACCCACCAACAACAGGTACCAGAGAGGAAAACATGAAAAGGGGCAGGGTAGGAATTAAGGTTTGAACCCTGGATCTTCAATCATCATACAATATCTGTAAGCAACAGATGGGATTGATAAGAGATAGTTCCCTGTCAAACCCCGACTTCAGTGATATCTAAACGAAATTAAGGGGGAGTTACTCTAGGTACATGTATGAAAAAGAAGTGAAAATCTCTTGGGTTTTATCTGTAGTGGGGCATGATTTAAAATTTTGATAGCAATAGCTCTGTTATTGATAAATATTCCAGCCAAATTGATGGAAAGTATTATTGAACAAATACTGTCACGCATGTAAATCAGAGAGCTTTTGATTTTGGAAATATATAAAAATTGCTTGATTTACACTACACTTGGAGATGTGTCGCAAATTAAATGTTCCACATCTTATTGTAGGACGCTGCTGATATAAACAGTAATGATTTTAGTTTTTCTCCTTTGATTGATGTAATGAGACATTCCCTCTAGTGTTGATACTAATACCAAAGTTAATGGACATTGGGCGAGTTTTATAGTGAAATCGTTGGTGTCGCGCTAATCAGACCCGTCTTCAGAAAACAGATGTTTTTCTATTTAGTTGTTTACAGATACACGTATTTCTAGAAGAAAACAACCAAATTATCTATGTACGTAATGATTAAAATCAATGAAACCAAACCGACACACCTACTGCAAATGCGTGTCATATTTTGACGATATACTTGTTTTCACTAAGAATTCCTTTTTTATTTCCAGACCTGAACACAATGTTTTTAAGTGAGAGTTTGATTTGTTTTCTATTTTATCAATGTTTTTTGATGAACGATGAGATTGACTGCTTTATTTTATTTTTAGTGACGCATTGCAATACTACATATCAGACTTATCGTTATTTATCGATGTGTCAGAAGGAACCATGATTTGTTTTCCTTTTTTCTAGAAATAGCAATAATACCTCCGATGGGTCGATGTGGCCGTTGTGATAATTTTTGAAGAAAAAAAGTTATATTTAATTTTATGTTTGAATGATAAAGGTATATGAGTTTATGCAAGTTAGGATGCTTTAATAACTGTAAGTGAATAAATAAAACAAATGATCCATGGTTTTAATTGCAGTGTTTGTTCTTTATTGATCTCCATAACTGTTTCAGTTTTGAAAGAAGAACTGAAACGGTCAAGTAAAACGGAAAATACAATTTACACACGAAGTTTATATGAAAAAAAATATATGGCAAAATATGAACAAAGACAAGTTTTACATAGACATCACTAAACAAGTACGAAGATATTAAGCAAAAGTATTTCGGAAGTATAAGCGTCTTCCGATTCGTCGATGACACCCCCCCAATGCAAATATAGGGGAAATCCATGGAATGTCACATCCTTAAAACGAGAACGCGGGTAGTGACAGCGACACTACAAGGCACACAATTGAGCCTAATCAAAATCATCGACTTTCATGTTTACCTATGAGATCATGGTGGCGACCATAACACTTGGTCTTCATCAACCTGCATCTCTCGAAACAATGTGTTGTAAATTTGTACGTCAACAGTCGACGTCTTTCGTGGGAGTCATAATGTTTGGAGCAAACTCTAAACACAGAGAAACAGGGGTGTTACCTAAGTTCACGAAATTGGCAAGCTTATTGTACTGGTTAGTAGTGAGATGTTTTGCCCGATGTCCGTGTTTCATGCACCACGTGTCTCGTCCGTCGTGGGTCCGTAAACAATTTACATTTTCGACTTCTTCTCCAAAACCCCTGAACCAATTTCAATGAAATTTTGCGGAAACCTTCCATGGCCAAAGGTCAACAAAAAGAGTGGTCGGTTTGGTCCCCAGCCCCCAGGGGCCTGAGGGGCGGGGCCAAAAAGGGTCAAATTGACTAAAATTTCAAAAATCTTGTTCTCAAGATGGTAGAATCAAATACTCTTCATAGATGGAAGGGTCTTAAGGTGCTTTCCCAAAATTGTGAATTTTATGACCCTGTGGTTTCAGGTTTCCCCCTGGGGAGGGGATAAACTTTACTATAGTTTATATAGGGAAATCACATTTTGGACCAACATTTGTTTAATTTCCATTGGAAGTAATTCAACTTAGGTTCGCATTATCAGTATTAGATATCAGTTTGATAGCATGCACATATGAGCCATGACTGACCCCCAGGGGCTGATGGGTGGGGCCAAAAAGGGTTGAATTGACTGAAATTCAAAAATCTTCTTCTCAAGACCCAGATATGGCAGAATCAAATACTCTTCATAGATGGAAGGGTTTTAAGGTGCTTTACCAAAATTGTGAATTTCATGACCCTTGGGTCTCAGGTTTCCCCCTGGGGAGGGGATAAACTTTACTATAGTTTATATAGGGAAATCACATTTTCGACCAACATTTGTTTAATTTCCATTGGAAGTAATTCAATTTATGTTAGCATTATCAGTATTGGATAGCAGTTTGATGGTATGCACATATCAGCCCGGACTGACCCCCAGGGGCTGATGGGTGGGGCCAAAAAGTGTTGAATTGACTGAAATTTCTAAAATCTTCTTCTCAAAGACCCAGATATGGTAGAATCAAACACTCTTCATAGATGGAAGGGTCTTAAGGTTTATGACCCTAATTAAGGTCTCATGTTTACCCCCGGGGAAGGAGGGGGGGGGGGCAACATTTATTATGGTTTATAATGACAAATGATACTTTGAATATTACATGTTAATATCTTGATTGGAGTTATAACCCTGAGTTGACAGTTTGATACTACGAAAATTTTGAGCCAGCCCTACCCCCAAGGGCTGTAGGGTGGGGCCCAAAGGAGACAGTGTGCTAAAGTTTCTTCATTTTCCTTGTTTAGAATCAGAGGTGCTAGTTTCAAATACTTTTTAGTCTTAAATCTGTATGCTAGATATTCAATAAGATGGTTTTATTGTTTTTTGTCACTTTGAATAATATTTCTGTTCATGTTAAAAACAAAATCAACTCTCTGTATAAATATATCAGGTGAGCGTTAAGGCCCATGGGTCTCTGGTTTTATTCCTTAACACGTGTCAATATTGTTTTTAAGTTAATAAAGTTAAAACAGCATTTAAAAAATACAGAAAGAACAGTTAAACATTACTGTTTATTTATTTCTTAGATACAAAATCAGTACGTTGACCGTTTACTTCAACATCACTTAATGACGGATACCACTGCACAATATATCTAATAGCATTACTCCACAACAGATCAAGTCGCTAAGTGTGACTAGCTTTTGTCTACTTTCAAATAACAGTTTATTAGCACTCGTTTGACATTGGTAAAATTACCAATCTATTAACAGGGAAACACGGATAACACACGGCAGTTTCCTATCTCAAAACCACATGTTGCATCAGTTGAGCAATGCGGCCTACTAACATATGTACTATGTGATATTATTATTATCTCATTTACTAGCTTCATTTCAATATGAAACAAAAGATACATTTTATTTAAATGTTAAGCATTTCTCGATACACATAAAAATCCATTATCTGGATGTGTGATGGTCGAATATACAAAATTATGAAACAACTCTGTAAAACGGATACATTTATTTTCCTAAAACAAATGCGGTCTACTGACATACACAGTGTACGATGTGATATTATTGTTAACTAATATACTGGTTTCATATGAAACAAAAGTATTGAGGGATACATTGTATTTAAATATTAAGCGATTCTCGATACACAAAAAAAAACATTATCCGGATTTGTGATGTTTATGAATATTTGTATGAGACATTTATTTCCTAAAAAAAACGATCTATTTTATTTCCATGCGCTTAACTAAAACATATATATCGTGTCAATGGTAGATTATATCTTTGTGGTACAACCATCCTGAAATTGGCCTCCAACTATTCGTAAACTTTCCTGGTACGTGTACATGTGCTACGTCGTAAAATTGATTTTGTCATCGATGGGCAATTTCTTCTCGGATGACTCCACCTGAAATTAAAAGGAAATATAGAAAAGAAAAAATGCAACTGCATTTATCTTTGATAGATTGAGGCTTATGTACATAAGCAAGGTTTAAATGGACAAATAATGTTTCTATTAATACTAGTCAAGCCTCGATGGACTAGTCTGCAACATTAACCTAAACATTGTGTATATATATGTATGTCAGTGACAATCATGATCAGTAGGTTTTTCATATACCTAGGAACATCGACCGTATACATAACCAGGGCCTGAGCGGTCTATGATGAGAGTGACCGGTCACGTGTTAGCTAATCGCTGTCTGATTGGCTTAGAGAATTCTTGATAGCTTGCTGGTCACTTTTTCCCCAGCGTCCGGAGCTAAATGACCAATCTCATAAGTTTTATATGTCGGGTTTAATTCTTGCACTACAATATACACCGATACGTATAACTACAGTCATACTTATGTATAAGTGATCGAAGAAGTGCTTGACGTTTCAAACAGTGTTTTCAGACACCAGGCTTAACGATGCAGACGTGAGAAGATGAGAATTGGATTTTAACATTTTCAAACTTTCGAACAATGGCGAGTCGAAGGCCAAAATCAAAATCTAGGAATGTGCCATGGGATTCTTCCAATCCAGCCAATTGGACAACTTCTCAACTACGAGACGAACTAATTAAGATAGGGATAACCCCTCCTTCAGCTGGAATTACGAAAACGGGTTTGAAAACTCTGTACTCCGAGAACGTGGGACGCCCTGCGCGCGAGACAATAGTACAAAACATCGGGCCAAATAATGGGGGAAAATTCGACGAGAGGTGTTTCTGTCGTGAATGATACAAGCGTGAGCGACATTCCGGATCAAAATGGCACAGACGAACTTCGTGTTGCAAACGCAAACTGAAATTACGAAGAGTTACTTCGGGACGCGGAGGTTTTGTCTACGCCGCGTAGAGATGGTAGTGATTTGGCCGTTGCAGTTCAAGCGCGTAGTAATCTGATGGAAGTCCCGCAGAATCAGTCCAACATGGCGGCGCCCAGTGTCATCGAAGGAATGCTGGCATCCATGCAAACGATGCAACAGACCATGCTTGGACTTCAACAGACCGTCCTCACGCTGATAAGTGGCAAAGACGGACATACAGCGGACACGCCTAGCCCACCCACAAACCAGGAATACACCCTGACGACGGCGTACGAGTCCCTGATGCAGGACCGAACGAATCACGTCGCTACAGATGGGTGCTTTTCTATCAATTCCGAGGGATATCATCTGAGAGTATCCCCCACATTGACATCGTGTCAGACAGTTACAAAAAGAAAATTTTAGAAGGGAAATATGTGAATCTGGCCGCACTACTCATCATTAAATACGAGACAGACCGTCCTGAGGACCGTCAGAAAGGTGTGAACATTAACCTTTTCAAGGAATCCGAGGATCCTCGTCTGCATAAATCCCTGACAATATCTGAATTCAAAACAGTTTTCGGGAAGCTCAAAAGGGTTATGTGTACAAAGTTTCCCGAGCGCCGAAACGAGCTCGACATGTATGAAGCCAATATCATAGAGATTTCCAACGTCTATGGGCAACGTTTCTACGACTATCATTGCCAGTTTGCCATGAAGGCAGCTGCCGCCCTCAGAGACAACAACCAAAAAGTTCGTTGGGAACTGAAGGACCAAGGTCTCCTAAGTATGGTTGTAGGCAACACTAGAGTTAACACTTGTCAATTGTGTGGATTAACTTCCCACTCTACTCATTTCTGCCCACGACAGAGGGAGAAGTACAGCCATTGCCAGCACAACAACAGTTATTCATCACCCTATGCTAAGAACACAAAAGGGGACAAGGAAACAGATAGACTTGGACGCCCCAAAGTTAAGGTCAATGGAGCTGAAGTTTGTAACAACTTTAATGAAGGCGTGTGCCAATACGGATCCAGTTGCATATTTACTCACATCTGTTTGAAATGCAAAGCGACTAGCCACGGGGCTAAATCCTGTAGGAAAACTGGAAAAAATCAAGCAGAGAGCAATAATCAATGACTCAAAGTTCAAGCTACCACACCCATCAACGTCAACAGACTCCGGTATGAGCTCAAAGGCCATACAGACAGAAAATTTGTGAATTATTTGTGTGATGGGCTTACTTACGGTTTTGACACTATGATCACCGATAACTCTCTACCAAATAAGGAATGTAGAAATCTTCAGTCAGCCTTGAAAGATCAACAAACTGTGACAACCTTAATTAACAGTGAAGTGGCAAAAGGATTTCTACAGGGTCCTTATGACAAGCTCCCTTTCTCAACCTACAGAGTGAGTCCCATAGGTGTGGCTTATGGTAAATACTCGGGGAAAGCCCGTCTCATAGTGGACTTATCTTCACCTCATGATGACGAGGAACACCCCAGCATCAACGACCTGATTGATAAAGATAGTTGTTCTCTCTCATACGTACGTATAGATGACGCTGTTAAATTGATTCAACTATTAGGTAAAGACACAACTTTGTGCAAAACTGACATATCTGATACATTTAAGCTGTTACCTATACACCCATCACAATGGCATCTGTATGGGATATGTTGTCTGAACAAATATTACTGTTACACACGCTTGGCTTTTGGCTGTCGGTCAAGTCCGAAGATTTTTGACAACCTTTCATGCGCCATCTGTTGGATTGCACAGCACAACTATGGAATTGCACATATATTACATCTTTTGGATATTTCATCACTTTCGAAGAACCAGGAAAATGTGGGGATAGGAACATGACATTATTGTACCATATTTTCAATATCTTGAACATTCCTATGGCTCTTCATAAAACCTGTGGACCGGAGACAGAACTGGAGTATTTAGGTATTATCTTGGACTCGCATCACATGGAGGCCAGACTACCGGAAGACAAGTTAGAGAGGGACATAGAAATGTTGAAATCATTCCAAAATCAACGATCATGTACAAAAAGAGAATTATTGCAACTTTTGGGGCATTTGAATTTTGCTAGCAAAGTAGTGATTCCAGGAAAAAGTTTTGTATCTTATATTATCAGGTTGTCTACTACAGTGAAAGCCTTACATCATCATGTTAAAATAACTAAGGAGTGCAGGGAGGACATTAGGATGTGGCTAACTTTTCTGCAACGTTGGAATGGCTCAACTATCTTCTATAACCCACAAGTCATAATATCTGAGGACATTCAATTGTACACAGATGCGTCAGGCACCCTGGGTTTTGGAGGGTACATGCAGGGAGAGTGGTTCGCACAGGCTTGGCCAGAGATGTTCCATAAACATATACATAGTTTGAAAGACTTGTCTATAGCATTCAAGGAACTTTATCCTATAGTAGTAGCAGCATTGATATGGGGTCACAAATGGAGAGGCCTACGTATATTGTTCAGGTGTGACAATACAGCAACTGTAGCCATTCTCCAGAAAGGACGGTCCAAAGCGTCACATATTATGCCATTAATGAGACGTTTGACTATGTGTGCAGCTATTAACTCTTTTGTCGTGTATTCCAAGCATGTACCAGGCAAGCACAATGTAATCGCAGATTCATTGTCTCGTTTACAGATGGCAAGATTCCGAATGCTAGCTCCAGAGGCCAACGCCCTTCCGTGCCAAGTACCACAGCCTGTAGAGGTCTTCTGGGACTAGACTCCGTCGTAGAAGACCTATGGAAGACAGCCGTAGCTCCCAGCACTAGACAAGCTTATGAAACCGGGTTTAAAACATTCATCAGGTTCCTCCTGATGGCAGGTACTTGGGCCAACATAAATTTGACAGACATGCAAGTCACAGAAGAGATGCTTATATACTTTGTGGCTTACTGTTATAGTATCAATATGTCGTATGCTACTATTAAATTATACGTGTGTGGGATCAGGTTCACGTGTCTAAGACACAACATATCTTATCCTAGCAATGCTAACTTGAGTCGTATGCATGCAGTGCTAGGAGGTGTTAAACGTACTCGTACTAAGGTTAGCAGACCTCGGCACCCTATCACCTTTAACATACTCAAAGATACATGTGAATATCTACGGAGGAACTCAAATTCTTTTGAAGACTTGATGTTGGAGACGGCATGTATCGTGGCTTTCTTCGGCTTTCTGAGATGTGGTGAATTTACTGTGAAGAAAAAATTCGAACATAGTGTTCATTTGTGCATCAATGACATGACTATAGGGGATGAATGCGTAAGGTTACATCTAAAGAGCTCCAAAACCGACCCGTTTAGAGAGGGCGTAACCTTAAAATTATTCAAGACTGACAGTGTGATATGTCCATATGTTACTTGTTCCAAATATCTCTCAGTCAGGCAACGACAGACCCAGGCACCAGAGGATCCTTTGTTCGTTAACGTTACTGATAATGGTAATGCCTTAACACGGACAATCTTTATTGAGAATTCAGGCATGTACTTGAGTGCATTGGCATTAACTCTGACCTGTACAATGGTCATTCCTTTCCCATAGGAGCGGCAACTTCAGCTGCAGCAGCTCATATCGAAGACCATCTTATCAAAGTGTTAGGGAGATGGTCTTCTGATGCATACTGCAGATATATTAGAACACCACAATCCTGCATTAGAGATGCACAGAAAGCACTCACCCATACTTGATAGAACATTATAATTAACAGCTTTTTAACAGTAAATGTAACATAATTATAGCTTACATATAGTTTGACGTATTCATACGCCTATGCTGCTTTATCAAGTGCAGGTTGCATACATACATATGAGGTCAGCATGTGGCTGCTCATATATATATACTTATGAACGTTACATATACGTGATTGTTGGCACAACATTCAGACTGATACATACCAAAAAACGAGGTCAGCATTTGGCTGCTCGTTTAAGATATGACTTTTGATAGGGCTATACACCTGTGTACGTATACTATACAAGTATGAGGACAGCTTTTGACTGCTCATACTCTCGTAGATAATCTGACCTCTATAGAGAGTTATCACTATGTCTTGTATGTTATGCTTATAGATATGACGGCTACTTATAACAATGACTCGCGTATGATAACTATAAGTAACCTTTTTTTTATGTACATGTATATATTTGTTTTGATGTTGTTGTTGGGTCGTTGTTTTTTTTAAACCTAACATGCTTTCAGTAAGTACACTATGCTTTGTAAATACGTTAAGTACCTAGGTCAAAAAACTACTTCATATCTATTAGAAGCAATTTTGGGGCACTCAGTTACATTATTCACATAATACAACTAAGTTTTGGCCTTGTTTTCCCCAAAAATTGGATGATATATTTATTTCACTATATTACATAATATTGGGATACAACAACACAGGCTGGAGCAATGTATCCAAAGAGTTACAGCCAGTCTTAGTTGTCCCATTTAATGCTATAACTTTTATATAAGTTACCCCAACATCAGACTGGAGCAATGAAACCAAAGAGTTACAGCCAGTCAGACTGGAGCAATGACTGGAGACATATAGCCAAAGAGTTACAGCCAGTCTGGGTAAAACATAAGATTATATAAAGTTAAAACATATAAGACGCTATTCCTCTTCGGGTCTGGCCTGCAATGCACCCAAAAAGTAGATAAGGCGGAAACGGCTCCACCACTACCTATTACATCCCCGCACTCTATTTAGTGTAACAGCAAAGCCTGCACACATATAGAGAACCAGGTAATTGCCAGCTTAGTCGAGGAATAGCGTCGACACTCTTTACCGTCACTGAGTTTGCCCCAGAAATGCCAATTTTTTATGTTTTCAAATTGTATATCAATGTATTCTTTTGTATGATGGATATATCAATTATGTGTGATGTAGTTTGACTTTTCTATATACGTTATATATACAACAGTAATTAAATGTTGTACATTAACTACTTAGTTGTTATTTGTTCTATTTAAATCATGAGATATACACTTTCACAATACACAGGTTTTAGGCTAAATTGCCATGTCAGTGTCGGTGGGGTTTGAAATGAGGAAAAAAACGTTTTTAGAGAGTTGGGTATTGGGGGAGGCCCAGGAAAACCTTTCTGAATCCAACACCGAATAATGGATATACAGAGTCATCAGCACTGTGGTGGAATTGGATGATATCAAAAGTACTGCTACCTTCCTTATTTGATTAAGAAAAGAAAGTTACATCTTGAAGGATTGCTGGGAAAGTTCTGTAAAATGGAACAAAAGGCAGAAAATTCAGTTGAAAACCTCTCCTTTATACAGAATTTCTGTGGTATGGATAGCTGTGATAAGGATTTTGTTTGGCATTAAATTGAACTGATCAGCCTAATTAAGGGATGTAGTTCCTTAAAAAGGATTTTTTTCTGAATACGGGATGCATGGGGAATATTATGTATTGATAAATAATTGTTTCAAAGTGTGTATGTTAAAATTCTCATATTTTTTTTCCTCCCCTGGATAAACGAAGGCTGTTTGTAGGTTTATTTTCATTCAAAATTTTATCTGGGTTTTTGAAGGGTTTTCAAATTGCCATATGTATTATGCTTTTGTCTTATACTAAGACTCCACAAGGAACTTCTAGTATTCTATTTTTACATGGTGTGTATCCATACCTTACTTTAACCTCTGTCAGGTGGTCTTACCTAAGACATTGGAACTTGTATCGCAATGTTTATAGATATATTGAGATTCGAAATGAAATGATGAAGACATGACAACCGAATGCTAAGACTAAGAAACTTGGCCCGTATTCATTAAACTATTGTACTTCAGTTGCTCAAGCTTTCATCTTTAACCGTTTCACCACTGTAGACCATAATGGACCCCTCCATATCAATGCATGGTAGAGTCTACTAAAGTTACATAGGGGTGAAAGGGTCAAACCAAGTTTCTGGTTTACTTGCCGAGTTCTTAAGACAGAATGGTAGTCTAACAGTTAAGAAGTTTTGTGATACTGGGGTGTTGAGTACATTGTATTGCTAAGTATTTAGCTTGTAACTGCCTTAATAGTGCGAGTTTAGGGTTGTCTGGTTGGGTGTTGGAAATCTTGTGATAAATCCTACAGTCAGAAGATTCGGGCTGTTGTAAATCAACCTGTAGAGAATTTGGGATGATCGTCTGTAGATAAAATAACAAAAACCACTTAGGAAATATTTTCTAAAAGTTTTCATTTTGAAAATTAGTGTCGATGACTCATTAAGCTCACAATCTGAAAACAATGGATTTAAATATGAAGGAATGAATTGATGTCACAGAATGTCAAACTGTTGGTGTTTGCAATGAAGTGATGCAATAGTTAAACATCACATTTATCTCACAAACACGTTTTTGTTTAGATCGACAGATATTGTATAGCCATAGGGTTAACTTGTATTCATCTGCTTCAAAGAAATGATCCTCAAATGTCAAAAAATAAAACTAACGAATGTCATGTTTGCAGTCACCAGAGTAGATAACCGTCAACTGTAGGGTCCTATGTAGTGTACGATGTGAACATAGATCTAAAGCATTTTGAAGACATCAACCTTACAGGTCATTTTCATTCTCAAACTTTGTTCGGCTCTTTCCTAGGAAGCTACAAGCCAAATATTGAGATTATATACCTTTCAGTTCTTCAGAAGAAGTCGTTTGAAGTGTCTGACACATTTGACTCCTGTGACCTTGAAAGAAGGTCAAGGTCATTTTCATTCTCAAACTTTGTCAGGCTCTATCCAAGGAAGCCATCAATCAAAAATAAAGATTCTATACCTTTCAGTTCTTCAGAAGAAGTCGTTTGAAGTGTTTGACACATTTGACCCCTGTGACCTTGAAAGTAGGTCAAGGTCATTTTCATTCTCAAACTTTGTTGGGCTCTATCCCAGGAAGCCATCAGCCAAATATGAAGATTCTATACCAATTAGTTCTTTAGAAGAAGTCGTTTGAAGTTTTTGACATATTTGACCCCTGTGACCTTGAAAACAGGTCAAGGTCATTTTCGTTCTCAAAACTTTGTAGGGCTCCTACCAACAAAGCTTTCAGCCAAATATCATGACTCTAGGCCTGTCCGTTTTTCAGAAGAAGCTGTTTAAAGGAAAAGTTGACGGACGAGGACGGACGGACGGACAGACGGACGACGGACGGACGACGGACGACGCGCCACGGCATAAGCTCACTTGGCACTTCGTGCCAGGTGAGCTAAAAACTATAACCTTGAATTATTGGGGCTGAAGCTCTAGATCCGCCACTGTTGTACTAGAGACTTTGTTGTGGACGCTGTGTAGACTGGGTTAAATATCTAGATCCGCCACTGTTGTACTAGAGACTTTGTTGTGGACGCTGTGTAGACTGGGTTATATAGCTGGTAACATCCAGATGGTCCTCCAATGCTGACCGTTAGACGATCAACTATGGATTAGCGTTAGTTTTTGTTCCAGTGAAATGTCCTATAGTATGCTGGTGGATGAATGCGAGTATGAATACATGTGATCTACAAACAGTGAACTTGTCTTTGTCTCTTTATTCAACAGTATCAACAGTACATCTTTTATGTGATATCTAGAAATAATTTGTGTGAATTAAAATACACCAATACTGTCTTTAGGAAAAGACAAACAAATTTAGGTACTATACACCATTGATTGTGAAGACTCGCATACACTTGATCCAATTACATATGATCTGTTTTTATATACAAGAGGCCCATGGGCCTTAACGGTCACCTGAGTCCTACAGTATTAATTTTTGTTGTTGAAATATGAAGTGGAGAAAATGATGTCAATCATCCCTACCAAAATTTGAGAGAAAAAAAAGTTAAGTATAACTTTAAGTTATAAGTTTGTCAGGACAATGAGTTGATCATTCCTAGAACCAGTTTCAGTTAATTCGGCCTATTAGAACTTGATTTTAAGTTTTAAATAGGTTTTTTAGCTCACCTGGTCTGAAGGACCATGGTGTGCTTATGCCATACCGCAGCGTCCGTCGTCAGTCAACTTTACACTACTAGTTATGAACCACTGAGTGGATTTTAACAAAATTCAGTATGGAGCATCCTTGGGTGAAGAAGAACCAATTTTGTATAAATGGTTGGTCCGGCCCCCCAGGGGCCTGAGGGGCGGGGCCCAATAGGGGAAATATAGCAAATTATTCTCTACAATCCCTCTTCTGCTGTAGGAATCAAAGGATTTGATCCATATTTGGTGTAGAACATCCTTGGGTAAAGGGGAACCAATTTTGTATAAATGGTGGGTACGGCCGTCCCTAGGAACTGAGGGGCAGGGCTCAATAGGGGAAATAGAGGTAAAACCTTTAAAATCCTTCTGCCATAGGGATTAAGGGATTTTATCCTAATTTAGTCTGGAGCATCCTTGGGCCAAGGGGACTCAATTTTGTATATTGGTGGGTATGACCTCCCTTGGGGCATAGGGGTGGGGCTCTGTTTGAAGTTTGTTCTCGCTATATCTTAGGTACTGGATGTATCTTTCTGAAATTATGTACTTCTGACGGACGGACAGACGACGGACGGACGGACGACGGACGGACGGACGACGGACGGACAACGGACGCCGCGCCACGGCATAAACTGCTAAAAACTGGTCAATAAGGGGAAGTGTTTCACAGTGGAAATGATTTTCCTGTCGACACCTAACCTCTTGCGTTGAATCTGACTCCAGCATGTCATTGTAAAAGCAGTTGGCTGAAGACTCTCAAACACACCTTTTAAACAGGCATATGACTTAAAACCTGTATACATATTTAATGTATATTCATCAGTACTAAACCTCTCAATACAAAACCTTTGATTAATTTTTGCCTGCAGCCTAGCTTTAAGTGTTGCAATGTACTGTGTTGAGAGCTCCAGCTTCTCTGCATCCGACAGCGGAAGAGGGTCTGTCACATAGTCATGGTCCTGAATAGGAATAGGCTGATGAGTATCATCTCTATCTGCAGGAGCAGCATCAGTGTGCTTCATATGTTTATCTTGAAGTTGATGGTCTCTGCAAAGAATAATGTAAAATTTCACAATCCTGAAAATGGAAAGTTAAATAGCCGTAATCATAGCAGTGCATGATGTCAAGTTAAGTATTATAAAAACACAAAGAAAAATATTGATTGTAATGATGGTGTTGTATACATTTAACATTGAAGCGAAATGATACACCGAATATTCATGACTGATTAATGAAAACTACCAAAATCAAATTGGAATGTTGTTTAAACCTGCATACATAAAATATTATAAAATAGTAAAATTCTTCAATGGTTATATGATCAACATAAAAGAGAAAGAGTTTACAATTATTGAAAAGGGAAAGGTATACATGTTTGTATGAAGATTGGTAAGTTTGTTAAATTATGAAATTGTGCTGTTTTTCATCTTGTTCATAGTCAACTGCTAGTTTATAATGAGTCCTCTGGGACTCGAACCTAGCATCCAAAATCAATTGGATGGTACCAAATACAACACTCTGTTCATCCAAAATCAATTGGATGGTACCAAATACAACACTGTTTATCCAAAACCTATTGGATGGGACCAAATACAACACTGTTCATCCAAAATCAATTGGATGGTACCAAATACAACACTGTTCATCCAAAATCAATTAAATGGTACCAAATACAACACTGTTCATCCAAAATCAATTGGATGGTACCAAATACAACACTCTGTTCATGCAAAACCTATTGGATGGTACCAAATACAACACTCTGTTCATGCCAAACCTATTGGATGGTACCAAATACAACACTCTATTCATCCAAAACCAATTGGATGGTACCAAATACAACGCTGTTCATCCAAAACCAATTGGATGGTACCAAATACAACATTCTTTTCATCCAAAATCAATTGGATGGTACCAATTACAACATTCTGTTCATCCAAAATCTATTGGATGGTACCAAATACAACACTGTTCATCCAAAACCAATTGGATGGTACCAAATACAACACTGTTCATCCAAAATCAATTGGATGGTACCAAATACAACACTCTGTTCATGCAAAACCTATTGGATGGTACCAAATGCAACACTCTGTTCATGCAAAACGAATGAAAATCAACAAAACATCCAATGAAGTACAAGTTCATTTTTTTTTTTTATAATTTGGTTTATATTGATTAAATTTTCATTCAATCATGAAACTAAAGCTATTCATGTAGCATATATTAGTGTCATGTATAGCATATATATACACTGTTGACAGTCCCAAGGTCGTGTGTGTATGTTTGACTGATCAGGTCCTATTTAACCATGATGACTTAATTTTTCTGTCAGAGTTTTATAATGTCATTTGTGTGAGGATAAATTGTACACTGTCTGCTGTGCAAAATTGCATTGTCGATGCTATTGTCACATCATGACATGACAGAAATTTTACACAATGATATCCGTCTGGAGAATTTCTGATGCTAACTTTGCTAAAACAAATTGCATGACTTTGTTCATCCTCATCCTAAAGTGATGTATGGGAAACTTGATGAAGGACAGAACATGTTGCATGTGTGATGTATGGGAAGCTTGTATTGGTAAAGGACAGAACATGTTGCATGTGTGATGTATGGGAAGCTTGTATTGGTGAAGGACAGAACATGTTGCATGTGTGATGTATGGGAAGCTTGTATTGGTGAAGGACAGAACATGTTGCATGTGTGATGTATGGGAAGCTTGTAAAGGTGAAGACAGAAAATGTTGCATGTGTGATGTATGGGAAGCTTGTATTGGTGAAGGACAAAACATGTTGCATGTGTGCTGTATGGGAAGCTTGAATTAGTGAAGGACAGAACATGTTTCATGTGTGATGTATGGGGAGCTTGTATTGGTGAAGTACAGAACATGTTGCATCTGTGATGTATGGGAAGCTGGTATTGGTGAAGGACAGAACATGTTGCATGTGTGATGTATGGGAAGCTTGTATTGGTGAGGGACAGAACATGTTGCATGTGTGACGTATGGGAAACTTGTATTGGTGAAGGACAGAACATGTTGCATGTGTAATGTATGGGAAGCTTGTATTGGTGAAGGACAGAACATGTTGACAGATTCGCTTTAATCGAATACGCAACCCATATGGTATCAATCTCTTCATCCGTGGGTGATGGGCAGAACTATAGAGAAGATACAGTTGTTTGTCAGTCGGTTTCCTGTACAGATCTGTCACAAGCATCCCGTCGTCCTCCACTCTAACACTGTCCAGGAACTCTATCTCTCACTCACTGTATCGTAGGTCGATCTTGATGCTCCTGTGGATGTTGTTCTACAGTGAATATTAAATGTTTTTTCAAAAATAGTGACAATGAATTAAGATGACCGTGGGCACATCACCAAGAAATGTGATCTTGTTGAAAAATAAGTGAAGACCAAGTTTTTCTTAAAATGGAAGTGACCTTGAACACAGCCTAGCGAAATATATACTTGTTCATAGAAATGTCATACAAATACTTTCAAATTCATTTGCCATATCAATTATGTCCTTATCCGATTTTGAATAGATCCATGCAATAACGCATGTCATCTGCGATGCCATATTAAAATTTATTATATGTATGAACTTTTTTCGCAATCACATTGGTCGTATCCTATGCACGTGACCAGTCCTCAAAAAGTCATGTAGACTGGTTATCCGGTGAATATCGATTTCTAAATATAGCCTGTATGGAAATTCCCAGGAACCTGTGGTAGCGCATGCGCAGTTAGACTGGAACGCGATCTGTCAGACGACATTAGAAGATGGTTGCTGGCGAACGTTTTTCCTCCGTTACATCAGAAAATTACCAAAACTATTCGAGGATAAAGATGCTGTTAACGTAATCTAGACGATACCTTCGAAAGCTACAATGATGAACTGTTGTATTCAAACCTGGGTAAATTTTACACGGAGGCTCGCGTATAAAAATCAGAACCTTTAGTTTTGTTTTGTTTTATTTTATTGCTGAAGCATATAATAAAACAGTTACGGGCTTTTGTGCTGGTAAATATGATGTGATATGAACCTGAAAGAGTGATATTGACCTCGGCGAATATCACTCTTTCAGGTTCATATCACATCATATTCACCAGCACAAAAGTCCATAATTGTATAGTGTGGCATTTTATTACATCAGTATCCGATATTTTCAGGAAGAATGACAACTAAAACAAGAGGCCCAGAGTGCCTGTATCGCTCACCTGGAAATGGTATAATTGGGCCCCACCTCTCAGGCCTCGGGGGGGGGGGGGGGGGGNCAATCCATTTATACAAAATTGATTCCCCTTCCCAAAAGAATGCTATACTGTTCATCCCAACAGAAGAAAAAGGATATTAAAGCTATTCCTCTATATTCCTTATTGGGTCCACCTCTCTGCCCCCAGGGGGGTCAGGCCAACCGTTAAAGGGTGCTTCATACCAAATTTGGACAAAATCCTGTTGTTCCTACAAAAGAATATGGATTTTGAAAAAATTGCTCTATTTCCCCCATTATGCCCGCCTCTCTGCGCCCAAGGGGGCCACACCCACTGTTTATACAAAATTGAGTCCCCTTAGCCCAAGGATACTCCAGACTAAATTAGTATAAAATCCCTTAATCCCTACAATAGAAGAAGGATTTTAAAGGTTTTACCTCTATTTCCCCCTTTTTGACCCCACCCCTCTGTCCCCAGTGGTGCCACATCCACCGTTTATACAAAATTGAGTCCTTATGGACCAAGGATACTTCACACTAAATAAGGATAAAATCCCTTAATCACTACAGTAGAAGAAGGATTTCAAAGGTTTTACCTCTATTTCCCCAACCACCCCAACTTAAAGTCCTTCAGAGGAACCTGTTAAACGATTTAAACACATTTAACCTCTGTGACCTTGAAATTCCAACAAGGTCATTATGTTACTGGCCAAGTATCATCATTCTGAGGCTCAAGACTATTCAGAAGAAGTAAATTTAAATTGAACAAACTTCATAGCCCTTCATCCCAGAACGCAACTTGAATATCACCACCCTATACCTTTTGTGTATTGAGAAGATGACTTTTTAAGTTTTATGCACTATGGACCCGATGTGACCAGTGTGTCAAGGTCATTCACATGAACAAGCAAGCACTCTCGACGCTTTAGTTATTGAGAAGTCGTTTAAAGATTTCAACATATTTGACCTCTGTGTGTTCAAATTTGTTCAAATGAATGACCTTCACCCATATGCAAGGTGCATATTGTGGTTATTAACAAGAACTTGGTTTAAGATTTTAAACATATTTGACCCCTGTAACCTTGAATATAAGTCAAGGTCATTAATTTAAACAAACTTGGTAGCCCTTTTTCACAGCATGTAACTGGCCAAATATCATCACCTTGGGCAATTTGGTTATTCAGTAGTAGTTGTTTGAAGGATTTAAACATATTTGACCCCTGTGACCTTGATAATCGATGAAGGTCATTTATTTAAACAAACTTGGTACCCCTTCATCGCAGCATGAAGAAGTTGTTTCAAGGTTTTTAAGACAATTGACCCCTTTGACCATGAATATATGCAAAGGTCATCCATTTGAACAAACTTGGTAGTCCTTCATCTTAGTATGCTATTGGCCAGATATCAACATTCTAAGCCTTATGGTTATTCAGAAGAGGGACAGCATGGTTCAGATCCTAGAGACACAAGATAACAAGATGGACTGAGTATTGCTCAGATCTCAGAGACACAAGATCACAAGAGGAACAGTATTGCTCAGGTCCCAGACAAAAAATGAGAAGAGGGACAGTATTACTCAGGTCCCAGACACAAGATAACAAGATTGACAGTAGTAATCAGGTCCCAGAGACACAGGATAACAAGATGGACAGTATTGCTCAGGTCCCAGACACAAGATAGCAAGATTGACAGTAGTAATCAGGTCCCAGAGACACAGGATAACAAGATGGACAGTATTGCTCAGATCCCAGATACACAAGATAACAAGATTGACAGTATTGCTCAGAAACAAGATACAAGATAACAAGATGGACAGTACTGCTCAAGTCCCAAGCACAAGATAACAAGAGGGACACTATTACTCAGGCCCCAGACACAAGATAACAAGAGGGACAGTATTGCTCAGATCCTAGAGACAAGATAATAAGATGGACAGTATTACTAAGGTCCAAGACACAAGATAACAAGATGGACAGAATTGCTCAGATCCCAGACACAAGATAAGAAGAGGGACAGTATTGCTCAGGTTCCAGACACAAGATAACAAGATGGACAGTATTACTCAGGTCCCAGACACAGATAACAAGAGGGACAGTATTGCTCAGATACCAGGCACAAGATAACAAGAGGGACAGTATTGCTAAGATACCAGACACAAGATGACAAGAGGGACAGTATTACTCAGATCCCAGACACAAGATAACAAGAGGGACAGTATTGATCAGATCCCAGACACAAGTTGACAAGAGCAGTATAGCTCCGATCCCAGACACAAGATAACAAGACGGACAGTACTGCTCAGATCTCAGACACAAGATAACAAGAGGGACAGTATTGCTCAGGTCCCAGAGACACAAGATAACAAGAGGGACAGTATTGCTCTTGTCCCAGAGACGTAAGATAACAAGATGGACAGTATTGCTCAGGTCCCAGACACAAGATAACAAGAGGGAAAGTATTGCTCAGGTCCCAGACACAAGATAACAAGAGGGAAAGTATTGCTCAGGTCCCAGAGACACAAGATAACAAGATGGACAGTATTGCTCAGGTCCCAGACACAGATAACAAGAGGGACGGTATTGCTCAGATCCCAGACTCAAGATGACAAGAGGGACAGTATTGCTTAGGTCCCAGACACAGATAACAAGAGGGACAGTATTACTAAGGTCCTAGACACCAGATAACAAGATGAACAGAATTGCTCAGATCCCAGACACAGATAACAAGAGGGACAGAATTACTAAGGTCCTAGACACCAGATAACATGATGAACAGAATTGCTCAGATCCCAGACACAGATAACAAGTGGGACAGTATTACTAAGGTCCTAGACACCAGATAACATGATGAACAGAATTGCTCAGATCCCAGACACAAGTTGACAAGAGCAGTATAGCTCTGATCCCAGACACAAGATAACAGGATGGACAGTATCACTCAGGCCCCAGAAAACAAGAGGGACAGTATCACTCAGGCCCCAGACACAAGATAACAAGATGGACAGTATCACTCAGGTCCCAGACAACAAGAGGGACAGTATTGCTCCGATACCAGACACAAGATAACAAGAGGGACAGTATTGCTGAGATACCAGACACAAGATAACAAGATGGACAGAATTGCTCAGATCCAGGTCCCAAGCACCAGATAACAAGATGGACAGTATTGCGCAGATCTTAGAGACAGGATAACAAGATGGACAGTATGACTAAGGTCCAAGACACAAGATAACAAGATGGACAGTATCACTCAGGTCCCAGACACAGATAACAAGATAGACAGTATTGCTCAGAAACCAGACACAAGATAAAAAGAGGGACAGTATTGATCAGATCCCAGACACAAGATGACAACAGGGTTAGTATTGCTCAGAAACCAGACACAAGATAACAAGATCCCAGACACAAGATGACAAGAGGGTTAGTATTGCTCAGAAACCAGACACAAGATAAAAAGAGGGACAGTATCACTCAGGTCCCAGACCCAGATAACAAGAGGGACAGTATTGCTGAGATACCAGACACAAGATAACAAGATGGACAGTATCACTCAGGTCCCAGACCCAGATAACAAGAGGGACAGTATTGCTCAAATCTCAGACACAAGATGACAAGAGGGACAGACAAGAGGGACAGTATTGATCAGATCCCAGACACAAGATGACAAGAGGGTTAGTATTGCTCAGAAACCAGACACAAGATAAAAAGAGGGACAGTATTGATCAGATCCCAGACACAAGATGACAACAGGGTTAGTATTGCTCAGAAACCAGACACAAGATAACAAGATCCCAGACACAAGATGACAAGAGGGACAGTATCACTCAGGTCCCAGACACAGATAACAAGGGGGACAGTATTGATCAGGGCCCAGACACAAGATAACAATATGGACGGGATTGCTCAGCTCCCAGACACAAGATGACAAGAGGGACAGACAAGAGGGACAGTATTGATCAGATCCCAGACACAAGATGACAAGAGGGACAGTATTGCTCAGATACCAGACACAAGATAACAAGATGGACAGTATCACTCAGGTCCCAGACCCAGATAACAAGAGGGACAGTATTGCTTAGATACCAGCCACAAGATAA